AGGTGCCTGCGACACATCTTAAACATCAGGTGGCCAGAGAAGATCTCAAACACAGAGCTATGGAAAAGGACCAACCAGAATCCAGTCAGCCAAGACATCAGGAAAAGAAAATGGGGCTGGATCGGACACACACTGCGAAAACCAGTTGACAACGTTACAAGGCAGGCCTTGGACTGGAACCTACAAGGGAAAAGAAAAGCTGGGAGGCAAAACAGACTTGGAGGAGATCGGTTGGGAGTGAAGCGAAGGCCACCAGAATGGCGTGGACCCAGCTGAGGAGAGCAGCCCAGAACAGAGTCCATTGGCGAGGTGTTGTTGCGGCCCTATGCCCCACTGGGAGTCTACAGGATTAAGTCAAGTCAAGTAGCTTTGTGCATAAATTCAAACAAACAATATAAAATTACATCTTTGTGCATATTTAAATAGTTTTCATTTGGTTTTCTTTTATGTACAGCTTATAAATGTATCCTATTCAACTGTTTACAGTAGTAGGTCTCTGCATTTCGTAATCAGTCATTACTCCAGAAATTATTCTGTTTCTTGCAAATGAAAAATATATATATTTTTATTTCATATTCACACTATGTCTCTTCTCTTATTTCTCCTGTAACAAGTCATTACACACAGATTTTCACATACCAGGTCCATGAGCCTTTTTTTGTTGCAGTAATTGGGTAACTGTGCGCTTGGTCCATTCTGAGCCTCAGAACACCACACATATACACACATATAAACATACCTTACACATTAATCTATGTTTCCAACAGAATATTTAAAGACAGATAATTTTTGACATGATATTCCATGTCTTCACATGCTTAAAAAATCGTCATGACATGTTTTATTAATATTGTTGCGTCAGCGAGGTCACGTGACTAGTGTCACGCCACTCGTTCTCTCGAACCTTCGTGAATTGTCGAGAGATTACTAGATATAGTGTTAGTCTTGTATATATATATATATATATAAGACGCTCACAACGTGACGGAAACGGTGTATAATGTGTGTAGGTAGTGAGTAATTGATCTGCAGTCAGAGAGTATTGTTGAAGTTCGTTATAGCGTTTGTTTTAGCGCAAATGTGGAAATCAAGTGTATCGTAAAGTTATATTCAGAAAGAATAAACCAGTTTTATTAAGTAAGGACTTGTGTCGCTAAAGTTTCGTCGGAACGAAGTTACGGAAAATTAACTAGCGAACGGAGACGTAACAATATCTTTGCGATACGAATTACTTCAAATTATGTTGTGAAATCCAGAGACAAGGACATTAAATGACTCATTAATATTTACCTGGACAAAACCTGCAGCACTCTTCTGGTACACTAAACTGTTCTTCAACAGGACAAGTTAGTTTTGGACATAAAACTTCAGGGTCAATTTTGTTGCATGCCATATTTCCATTCTATCCATGGGAAGATGAAAAATTCACAACTTCAACATAAGTGTATAACCCACTGCTGGGCAGTAAAATATACTAATAGGCAGAAAACAAATATGTAGTCAATTAAAAATCAATACTCTGGGAAATAACATATAAAATATTTTTCATTATTTTATATATATTTAATTCAAAGTGACCAAACTAATTTTGTGAAGGAAATTAGGTTTTGCTTAAATATTATTCATTAGTAGCTATTCTTATAGTTTCACTTATAATTCTAAAAGAGAGGCTATTGAAACTAATGAAATGAAATTGTCCTTTCAAAACAATATCAAGCTCAAATTCAATAAACCTTGAGGTAATTTAATTAAGAGAAAACATATATGAATCCTTTATGTATGTCATAATTAATGTAACAATTATCCCAGAACAAATGTAATAAAAAAACTCAGTTTGGTGTCATGATCTATTTAAAAACCCACACAGAAACTCAATAGATGAATTATTTTTAAAAATCAGCATACCCAAATTAAAATTGTGATCATTTGCAGTAACTATTATAAGCTAAAATGAAAATAAGCAAAAGTGGACTTTTACATACCTTACATTCACACTTCACACAATCTCTGGGACTGACCTCTTCTCCATGGTCAAAGAGAACACCATGAAGTAAGCACCTCTCTATATAAAATGTTCAATATCATTAACCGTTCTTGTATGAAAGTTTCAAGCACACAGAGAAGAAAATTTAAAAGACATAATTTATTTTATAATGAAGAATGCGTTTTCTAAGAATTAAAAACATTCACACTCAAGGTAAATTTCTTAAACTTTGATAGAAAATAATCACAATATGAAAAACGTAAAGAAACTAAAATTACCAAACTTTTTGTTTGCATGTAAATTCTGAATGAACTAGTTAATTTTTTTCCTAAAAATATATACACTTACTGAGACATGTGGGGCAACATTCTCCAGGAGCTTGGAACGGGTTTTTACAGTTGACTGGGGCACAATTCACAGGATGACACATTACTTCACCACCCTGTTGAATATAAATACAGTATAATTCAAAAACAAAGGATTAGGATGAGAAAACATGCTATTCTCTGTAATTTGTATAGAATAAAGCAATTAAATGAATGCTTAATTTGTAATGAAAATTAAAGCTTAATATAATTTTAATGATAAAAACAGTACTGTAATAGTTAAGGTTAAATTTTGAAAGATGGCGAAGCATTACAAATCAATAGATCTGAAGTTTGAAATACAAGTAACAGAAAGTGCAGAGGTTGTTTTTTTTCTACAGTGGAAAAGTCATCATGCAGAGTGTCACAGTTGAAAGAATTAATAACTTTATTCTTGAATAACCACAAGTACTTTTCTATATTTTTGTGTAAGTATTTTGCATGTAGTTATTCTATCTTTAAAAATAGATGTATGAAGACTGCAAACATAACACTAAATTTCTTGATTAGGTAAAAGTTACATAACTACAGTTGCTATTTTATAGAAAGTCCTACAGATACTTGCACAAGTTAATATTAGTTGGGAGTTCTTTCCCTTATATGTATGTATGTATGTATATTTGAAATGATCATTAATATAGGTAACTGTGGATTGTGAGATAACACGTTAGTATCCTGGTCTGACTTTAAATTATGGTATTTCATTATTTTTGAAGCTATCCTTGTCCTATGTAGATGTGAATTGTTTTTAAATGATCCTGTCCTAGTCTTGTGCAGATGTTTTAGGAAATTACTCGTCACCCCAGCAGTTAGTTGTGAATAAGGAGCTTGCCAGTTAAGTAAAGACATATTTGTGTTGTATGAATAAAGATGTTGTCCACTTGTGTATTTGTACTTCCTTTGCCACCCATGTTTGAATTGTTAACAGTTCCTAAGCTGAAAATGTATTTCCAATATATACTTACCTCTATTCACAAAAAACGTTCTCAATTAGTACTGCCCTCCATTGGCACAAATTTTTTGCTTGCCATTAGCCTTGTAACTCCCACTTCTTTCTGAATATTTACATGCAAATGATAATACAGCAACCCTACACCAATAGGAGTGCGACACTACCCTATCATAAGTAGCGGCATCTCTAATAATGCACCTTTTAACCAAGTCAACCAATACACCAGAAGTGGGGAGGATGGGTGGGAAATACATTTTAAGTTTAGGACATGTAAACTTCCAATACAATATCTTACCTCCCTCACAAAAAAGCTAGAATCCCACATTGAACTAGTGGAGAGCCAGTAAGAATATGATCCTCTTTTAGAAAGTGCCCAAAGAAAGACCATGAGGTGTGGTAAAGAATTAAAAAGAACACACCAGTGGGAGACTGCACAACTTCAGAGGTAGATATATTCTTCGCCCTTCAGGAATATGTCACCAAAACATAAAGGGCCCCAAACATTTTCATGAGGAAAGGGACCCCCAGGGTTGAGTAGCTATGGCACGGCAGGCTGTAAATGGGAGTTCGACCTCAACCAACACCTAGCAGCATCTGGAATTGTATATGAGGTCTGCAGCAGGAAGAGGGTCCTCTACCTTTCACCTCAAAAATGGGTACTGGGAGAGAAGACGAGCTTCAAGAACCTATCTCCACATGTGTGCATCTCCAATACAACCAATACCTGATCCACCAGAAACCAATATCCAGATTGTAGGAAGTAAGGATAGCCCAGGAGGCATTCATCTCCAGTCCAAAACCTGGCAGCATAGGAAATGTGTTGTCCAGTCTGCACTAGGAACAGGGAACCCAGCCTTACATACATGGGAATTCGTGTTTCATGTCCAGCTTCCCACCAACACCAGATCCACTGGGAACTGAAATCTAATGGACAGTAAGAAGAGGGACTGCACTTTGGGGTTGCATCCCCAGTCCAAAACCTGGCAGTATTGGGAATTTATTGACCAGTCCACGATAACAGGAGGGTATCAGCCAAACAAGCAAGGAATTATGTGGCTGGATCATCTCCAACCAACACTTAATCTGCCAGAAACTGACATCGAGAGGACGGTAGGAAGGAGTAATGCATCAGACAGAGGGGCAAATGCATTATATATGTATACATAGGCTTGGCAGTGTGTTACAACCAACACCTGGCAGCATCTGGAACTGTACGTCAGGTCTGCAGTAGGAAGAACATTACACCATTGACACCAGCAGAATGCCACTACCCTACTCTCAAACTGAGTGGTATTATGTACTCTCAAGAGGACAGGTCTCCAATGGTCCACCACCCCAGTTGCTAGGAACTGGTAAGTGGCAAGGACTCCTATACTCCACCAGAAGAAAGGGGGGGAATGAGTTGGAGAGTCTTTAGGACTTCATCACTGGAGACAGTGCAATGGGTGACCATGATACCCTATTTTGAAAAGTAGATATACCATATTGACAGAGTTGATCAACAAACACCAACTGGAATTGTACATCAGGTCTGTAGTAGGAAGAGACTCAAAGCCATGGAGAAACAGAGATGGACAGTAATCCCTGTCTGCTTTACCCATGTCAGTCCATGAGTGTACAGTCTGGAATAAACATACTTAAGATGCAAAATACCATGAGATATAACTACAATTGGTCCCATGGCATACCTCATATCTATGGTGTGCATAACATGAACCTGTGACATGTGATGATTTGTTATGTATGAATTGTTGATATCAATGCATAGGTGACAATCAGACAGAGTCAATCATCCAACACCTGGTGGCATCTGAAATTGTACATCAGGTCTGCAGTAGGAAGAGCCTCAACATTATAGTCATCTAGCATGGTCAAAGGACAGGCAGTGCAGATTTGAGACTAGGTGTACTTGGTCAGGCATCATGCCACAGAGTAGGATCCATAACCGATGAGCAAGAGAAAAAGAAACTGAGCTGTGCAGAATGGTGACTGGAGGTAAGTGGAAACCTACAGATCATGAAATGGCCATGTGATGGACGTAGTGAGATGTAAAGGTATGCAGTGTAGTCCACACACGTGTGCTAATGATGTACTCCAATGGAAGAAAGAAAGGGGCAGCCAGGGACATGGTCAAGTGATAGATCTGATGGTAAAAAAACACAAAAAAGGCAACAATCATCCAGAGAAAGGGAAGAAAATACCAGATGAAGAACCTGGCAATTCCAACCCATAAGAGTAATGGGAGAAAAGTCACATGGAACAGTAGGATTCCAATGCATAAACAGACATGGGAACCATGGAAGGAAGCAGTGCATGTCATATACATTTGGAAGGCCCTGACTGGGCAAAGGAGGATGAGAATCTGAATGGTCATAAAGTTGGGAGATGGGGGGAAGAAAAAGGAAACACAGCAAATGTTGATCTCAAAAACATTGGAATGGTGGCAACCACACGCCAACAACAGTAGAAACAAGGACTTCAATAAAAGGTGATATAATAAGTAAGATGACAAAGGTTCAAATGGAGGATGAATAAGAGTGTGAAGGATAACATTGAGGTTCCAATCTAGGGGAGAAGCAAAGCAATGGAGAAAGAACAAAATAACATAGACAGGACAAGAGTGTGGAACACAGAAGCAAATTTGGTAAACCGAAAGGTGGAAGACAAAGTTGTCCTGTAACCCACAACAGAGGAAACTGATAGGCCCCTGTCATAAAGCCAAGCAAAAAAGGAGGACAAATGAGAAATCGTAGGGCGAAAAGGATAGTAACTCCAATGTATAGACCAAGAGCAGGAAATAGCCTACTTACACTGATAAACTGCCAATGATGATGGTCAAACTGGATGGGAAATCAAAGAGGCAACATGCCTGGAAAGTCCAGACCATCTGGCGAGGGACCAGACAAAAGTCATGTGTAAGATTTAGTGCGAGTAGGGAAGGAAGACATACGAGGCCAGAGTGAGGCTGGCAAAGGACTGTGGGAAAAAAGTGAGAGGAATGGGTGGGGACACCAACAGCCATCAGAGAGGTGGAAACCATGTCTACGCCAGCCAAAATGGTGCCACCAACAGAACTCAAAAAGGAGTAGTCAGAAGTAGCAAAAGGACACAAAGAAGAAGCCAAATAGGAGGATAAGCATATAGGTAAAAGCTGGTCCAATTCTGGCTGAGAGTATCCACCACATCTGCCTGCAGATGAGGAACAGGCAACCAAAAAAAGGGAAGTTGTGTTTTGAGAAGAGACACAAATGAGCCCAAATTGAGGACACCCCAACGAGCACACAACTCTCGAAAAACAATAGGATCCAAAGACCCCTTTTTTCAGTAGAAACTTGTTGAGTTTGGATAACCGATTCATGACCATATTCAAGGTACCTATAATATGACACAGCAGCAAAGTAATTTAATAGTTGTGGGCCCAATAAAGAAGTTCCAAAGTTTGAATACAAAGGTCCCTCGACCAAGAACCTCCTTGCCTGTTGATATAGGTGAAAAGACTGAATGGAAAGAAGGTCCAAGATATTGATATGAAGAGCATATTTGTTAACAGTCCACCATCCAAAAACCTCTTGAAAGTCGAGATGCACTCCCCAATTCGAAAGGGAAGAATCCATAAAAGGTGACAATCCAGATGAAGTGAAGGAAGAGGAACCACTACAGTAGTATTGGTCCAATCCAGCCACCAGGCAAATTCTGTCAGTAATGGAGAGGGAAGAGTTAGAGGATCCAAGGGATCCCAAACAAAGCTCTGTTGGTCAATTAAAGCCCACTGAAGATGGCACATGTAGGCCCAACAAGAGGAATGATGGCTTTGAGAGAGGTCCACATCCCTAAAAGAGATAGAACCTTATGTGTAGTAGGAGAGTGTGAGGAGGAGACCTTGCAAATGAGACATTCCATATCTCTCAACTGAAATGGAGAAGGCTGGGCCTGACTGAGAAGTCAATTGAAAAACACACCAAGATGAACCAGAAACTGGGTAGGCATGAAGAATGACTTCTCCACCTTGATGAGCCAACTGACCCTGACAGATTCCTGAAAAAGCAACCGAGTATGAAGGGCAGAGTTGGCTCATGAGGATGCCAGCAGGAGCAAGTCATTCATATAATGGAAGAAACAA